ACTACGCCACAATGCCAGTTCCACCATGTAACACTGTTATTGCTGAGTCACTATAATGCCACCCTGACCCCGAGTCCCCTTCCTCTTCCTCTGTTCTGTTCTTATCTGTTCATCCCAATGCATGCTCGTGGGGCACTTAGCAAAGCCTACTCAGGGTGGACCACAGACTACAGGGCATTAGAGAGCACCAGTGCACAGACTGATGGCTTTGGTCTCTACAGAGAAGCAAGAGGTCAACCAGATGGACAGAAGGGGGAAGAAGGAAGCTTTCAAACAGGACTAGTTTGTGCAAAGGCCCTGAGGCACTCAGTTGCTTCCCGCATCGACCAGGAAACACAGACATTCTGAAGGATTGTAAAAGGTGTGCTAGGAAATTTGAATTACATAGGTCAATGAGATCCTCCCAAAATAATGTAATTCCCAAAGACTGAGGAAATCAGGGAGATGGGTTCTGGAATCCCTGATTTTACCTAATTTTTTTTTTAAAAAGATTTATTTTATTTATTTGAAAGACAGAGTTACAGAGAGAGGTAGAGACAGAGATAGAGGTCTTCCATCAGCTTGTTCACTCCGCAGTTGGCCGTAATGGCCAGAGCTGCACCGATCTGAAGCCAGGAGCTTCTTTCAGGTCTCCCACGTGGGTGCAGGGGCCCAAGGACTTGGGCCATCTTCTACTGCCTTCCCAGGCCATAGCAGAGAGCTGGATCGAAAGAAGAGTGGCTGGGACTAGAACCAGTGCCCATATGGGATGCCAGCATTTCAGGCCAGGGCTTTAACCCACTGTGCCACAGCGCCGGCCCTGGATTTTACCTATTTCTTAGGAAGATTCCAATCCAGGAGTTCCTGGAGCATGATCAGCCTTTGATGCATTCTGGACGGGAGGGATATGATCAGAGTTAGGTGTTGGAAGGAGGTGGCGACAGAGTGGAGGACCAGGAAGGCCAGGGTGGGGGTTGGGGGAGCTGGTGCAGGGACAGTACCTGAACCCAGGGGACACCGGTGAGACCAGAGGGAGTGGGCATGATTCTGAAGGCACTTAAGGAACCCAAGCAACAGGCCTGGAGACAGGACAATGGGAAAAGGGGGAGGGAGACACAGGGTCTTGAAGGGGTCAGGCTTGGGGGTACCAGACAGTAGGTGTCGGTCCTGGTGAGCAGCCAGCGGACCGATGCACCTGCCAGGGTCTACAAGAGTGTGCTTGTTGTAGCTTCCTCCTCGCCTGTCTCTTGTCCAGCCGCTGCCCCCTCCAGCTTGTGGGCTAGCCCAGCTCCAGGCCCAGGCTGGCTCAAGACAGCACCAGGAGGGTGGCTGTCCTCTAGGAGTCAGTCTGCTGGCTGCAAATGAGCAGGAGGCCGCGGTGCAGAGAGCAAAGCACAGGGAGGATCAGAGACGGCCCTGCCTGTCTCTACCCACAGGTTTATAGGAGCTGCCATGTCCCTGTGCGAAGGCGCCTACTTCATGGCTCAGCTGCTGGCCGTGTGCTTCCGGTAAGTAGCCCTGGAGTGGTCCCTGTATCACTGCCCAGCCCAGCTCCGGACATCGCCAGATGCCTGCACTCGTGAGGCCATGGCTGGGGGCTGTTCTGCTCCCAACGCCACCTCTGGGTTGGGGGGTGTCCATCTACAGTGTTGCAACCCTCAGCACAGGCATGGACCTCAGTGGTCCCCAGCCACTGGAGCCTACAGATGCATCCATTCAGGACCCGCCCCCACCCAGAATCTCCCAGAAAAGTTCAGCCCCAGCCCTCCTCCCCAGGAACAGCCAATCACAGGGCCCCAGTGTCCAGGCCACCTACCTGGGGAGGGCACAAAGCCGCAGGAGAGAACTGGCTCTACCTCCTGCAGGACCCTGGACAAGTCAGGGGCTGGAGGGCCACAGAGCCCACCCCACCCCGGGCTGCCCTGCTGGTGTTGAGCATGTGGGAGCTGTCGTCAGTGTGGCCCAGAGCAGGAGCCCCAGGTCAGCAGCGCTGAGAACTTGGGCAGTCAGTGAGGGAGCAGGGCCTCGCGTCCAGCTGTCTGACTTGGCAAAGCCACCGGCTGCCTCCCAGCCTCCACCTTGCTGCTAATTCCCACTGCCAGGGGATCCCTGAAACTTCAGGGGGTGCAGAGGGGGAAGAATGGGGAACTTAGGGTGGGAAGGGACATGTCATCTGTTCGGGACTCCACACACACACACACACACACACACACACACATACCTATGAATGACCACCAGGGGGCACCAGCGAGCCATAGTGTACAAGGCCTGGGCGTGGTGGGCCAGGCTCTGGGCCTTGTCCGTAGTCCGCTCCCACGCTGCTCCCTCAAAGTTGGCCTGGGCAGGGCAGTGCTGAGCAGAGTTCCTGCTCTAGACCAGTTCAGAGCAAGGAGTCGATAGGTCTAAAGGAAGGCATTTTCCTCCTTGGAAATCCAGGGGTCTAGAGGACATCAGGCCTCTACCAGCTCATGTCTGGTCCCTGAAGGGAAAGAAGCCCTTCTGGGCCAATGCCTGTCCTGTGCTCCAGGCCCAGTGAGCAGGCCATGGCTGGATTCCTGCCTGCTGGCCCACATGGCCAGGCTGCTTGTTCAGTGCACAGTCCACTCGACTGTTCCAGCCTGGTGGCTCCAGTCCACACACCTCTGCTCTACTGTGTGATTCCCAGTGGGCCCTGAGGCTCCTGGTCTCCTCATTGGCTCTTGAATCATAAGCACATTTCCCTTCCTCCTCCTGGACCAGAAAAACAGGACAGGGCCCTCTGGAAGGGCTCAGGCCAGCCTCCTAACTATGCAACCCACAGCAAGAACCCCCAGGCCTCCACGGCTCCCAGATCCTGAAGAATGTTCAGCCCGGGGCCCTGCAAAGAGCATGCCCACAGCAGGACCCTCCCCCATGTGACAGGGGCTTCCCTGGGGTGCTTCCTGCTCACCCTGGACTCCCTCCCTGCCAGGTGCCAGCCAGGGTCCCTGGCCCACAGAGCAAAGGAGAAAGCCCACTGGCTGGGCTGCTTTCAGAAGTTCCTGGCCTACATGCTGCTGTCAGTGGCCTGCTTCCTCCACCCTGTCCTGGTCTGGCATGTGACCATCCCAGGTAGGACCCTGGGGGAAGGGGAGGCACGCAGTCCCCACCCCAGCATGCAAAGCTGCTAGAGCCGCTCTCGCGGTCCCCACCAGCCCCGCTACCCTCTCTGGCCCAGATCTGGGGCTGGGGACCCACCCAGAACCATCCACACAGACCAAACATCAGGAACCTGCTGGGAGGCCTTCTGGAGCCCGCACCTTGGCGGGGCGGGGGCTGGGTTTTGCTGTCAGTGACCGTGCAAGGTCCAAGCCTTGCAAGGATGCTCATGGGGACCAGCGGCGGCCACTTCTTTGCCCAAGCCCTTCTGTATGTTCCCGGTGCCTACAGACTCCTCAGCCAGGTTTGAAAGCCGTCCGGTTTCTACCCCACCTCGCACACCTGCTGCAGCCCGGATTCTGGCTGCAGAACCAGGGATTCGATGCTCACATTGTGTTTTGTTTTTTTGTTTGTTTGTTTGTTTGTTTTTTGACAAGCGGTTAGACAGTGTGAGAGAGAGACAGAGAGAAAGGTTTTCCTTCCATTGGTTCACCCCCGCAAATGGCTGCTAAGGCCGACGCAGTGTGCCGATCTGAAGCCAGGAGCCAGGTGCTTCCTCCTGGTCTCCCATGGGGTGCAGGGCCCAAGCACTTGGGCCATCCTCCACTGCACTCCCTGGCCACAGCAGAGAGCTGGACTGGAATAGAAGCAACCAGGACAGAATCCGGCGCCCCATCCGGGACTAGAACCCAGGGTGCCGGCGCCGCAGGCAGAGGATTAGCCTAATGAGCCGCGGCGCCAGCCCGCATTGTCTTTTCCTGTGCTTCTCCGTGAGTGTTTTCCTCTTCTTTCCTCCCCTCCCCGAGCCCCTCCCTTGAAACACCCAGAAGCCAGCCCTGCAGGGAGCACTGAGTTGGAAAACAGCCCCCACAGAACAGCTGCCCCGCACGGCCTCTTCTTGTGTGCGGGCGTCCTGACCTCTCAGCTCTTTCCAGGCACCATGCTCATCATCACAGCCGTGGCCTACTTCCTGCTGAGCAAGCGGAAGAAGAAGAAAGCCACGCCTGAGGCGCCACCCCCGCCCCCACCCGAGCAGTACACGGACCCCTCCAGCAGCGCCGTGAGCACCACGGGCTCCGGGGACACGGAGCAAACCTACACCTTCCACGAGGCCCTCAGGGAGGGGCCGGGGTCCCTCTTCACCCATGTGAAGAGCATCTTGAAGGGGACCAAGAAACCCAGCGCCCTGCAGCGCCCCGACACTCTCACAGAGCTCACGCTGCAGCCGGCCGACTCCCCAGCCAAGAAGAAACAGGTGCACTTCGAAGACAACGTGGTCCGGATCATCCCCACCCTCGCCGAGGGGCTGGAGGAGGGCGACAGTGAGTCAGAGGAGACCACCTCTGATACGACGCCCATCATCCCCACCCCACAGCCCCTGCCCCTGCTGTCTTCACTGTCGGCCACCACCGGCCTGTTCTGAGCTGCTCACCGAGGGGTCTGCGTGGATCCGTGGCCCTGCCTAGGTCCTCTGGGAGGCCCAGACGACCCCACGATGACCATCAGGGGTGTGACGGGCCAGGCATCGGGGAGGCAAATGAGGCCAAGATCACTTGGAGCCAGCACCGGCTCCTCCCTCTTGGCCAGGGGTGGGGGGAATCCCAAAGAGCCCAATACCTCCACCTCGCGCAAGGCTGCAAAAGCCGCGGCCTCTGTTCCGGTGAGGATGGACGATGTCACCTTAGCAGAAACCTGCCCTAGCTGCTGACACTGATCCAGCACTCAGCAAAGGCCCTGAGGACGGCTGGGATGGCCAGGGACACCTTAGCGACTTAAGCATCTCAAAGCAGGTGTCAGAGATGGCCACAAAGGGAGGAAGAGCAGCCGGGCAGGCGGTGGCCCGCATTCTGTGGGTTCTCCCAGGCTGGGCAGAGCTGCAGGCGTGCCAGCGGGGCTCAGGGAAACAAAGCCGTTCTGTGCGCACCAGACAAAGCCGCGCTCATTCCGGAAGCATGGCTCGGGGCTCCCTGCAGCCCCACAACCCGGCCTGCCACAGATGCCATGTGAGTGACGCAAACTCAGAGATGCCGAGTGCCCGTGGCAAGGCAGCAGGGGCTGAGAGAGCCTGGACCGTGGCGCCCTCCGTGTGCAGGGACCAGGAAACACAACATGCGGAGGAGGCACACTCTGCCACACTGGGTGCCCTAGAGGATGAGCATTTGTGGATCCAAAGTGGGAGAGAGGGAGGGTGGGTCTGGGAAGAAGAGAGGGTAGGAGGAGAGCTGGCAGGAGGGCAAGTTCTCTGTCACAGCCCGGAATGAACAAGGGAACGGCATTGTCCTTTGGCCATGAGGCTGTGGCCAGGAAGGCCAGGCGTGTTAATTTTTTTGTTCTAGTGAATGAGAAATCAGAAGAAGGAAGGGATCGCTCCCCAGTGCAGGAGAGGGGGCCGACCCCAGGGCACTCCGAGAGCGCTCGCTTTATGGTCCCTATGAGAAACTCATGTGGTTCTTGCACACTTCAGGACATCCCCGGGTGGGTGTTTGTGCAGCCGTACGGAGGTCCACAGCCAAGCAGAAGTACCATTGCCTGGGTCTTCTTTCAAAGCAGCGCGTGGCAGGCGGCTAACGGTGCCATCCCGAGGGCCCTCCGTGGAGGGGCTGTGGCTTTAGCTGCCACTGAGGAGGGAACTCAGGAGCTGCTCTGGCAGTGAGGGGGGAGTGGATAACATGCTTCCTGGATCTAGGGAGGGGTGGGGGCTGCCCCATTCATGACATGCCACGTGTCCCCTGCGGGCCACTGTGAACAGAAGGAGCCCTGGTATGGAGAAGCCAGCAGCCTTGGGCATTGTCCCCAGTGGACAGGGGCCACAATGGCCTGAGGGTCTCTGGGGAGCTCCATCATCACAGCCAGCGGAGTAAACCTGAAGACCAGCACCATCCTGCTTTTTCTAAAAAAAAAAAAAAAAAGAAAACGATTTATTTATTTCTTTAAAAGTTAGAGTTCACAGAGAGAGGAGAGACAGAGAGAAAGAGAGAGAAAGAGGTCTTCCATCCGCTGGTTCACTCCCCAGTTGGCTGCAATGGCCAGAGCTGTGCCAATCTGAAGCCAGGAGCCAGGAGCTTCCTCCAGGTCTCCCACACGGGTGCAGGGGCCCAAGGACTTGGGCCAGCTTCTACTGCTTTCCCAGGCCATAGCAGAGAGCTGGATCAGAAGAGGAGGAGCCGGGACTCCAACCAGCGCCCATATGGAATGCCGGCACTGCAGGTGGCAGCTTTTCCCTCTACGTCACAGTGCCACCGGCCCCAGTGTCAGCCCCAGCACTGTCCTGTTTTCAAGAAACACTTCTGCAAACCCAAGGCCTCAGCACCATGGCGGCTGTGTCTCAGAGTCGAGGAGGCGTGGGTTGAGAGTCCCTCCCCCCCAGGGGGGTGGTGATGTGCATGTGATCTTGACACAACCAGGCTTTCTGGTCTGGGAAGAAACACTCCGCGGGGTGTGAGTGCTACAGGACTGCTGGGAATCTAGCTAGGGATGAATTAAGGCACCAACACTAAACTAAGCTCCCATGAGCTCACTACACAGGCCGTAGACCCTTCACCCTGGCCCCTTCCCCATAAGCGGCTCCGCTTGGTTCTTAGCCCGAGCCCTTGGGAACCACATCCTCACCCAGTGGCACCCCCACAAACGTGACAGTGCCCCCCACCTTTGCTGAGAAGCAAAGGAGAGAAGGGCTGACCCCATTGTGGCCTCCTCCCTCCCTGTCTCTCTTGGCTGAAACGAGAATGGATGCTTTGCAGGGTGGAATAGAGCACTAGGCTGGGAACCCTGCACCTGCCATCAGCATGCTGAGGGAGCTTGGCCGTGCCTCTTCCCTTCTCTGGTTCCCATGCCCAGTGCACCGTGTCCCTATCACTGTGGGACCCCTACAGCACAGAAGGTCTGAGAGTAGCACAATGCAGGTTCCGTCTCTGAGTCCCAGAGCCAGCACTGGGGCATACACAACCCCCTCCCCCAGCTCAGTCAAATAGCACAGTGGGCCAACAGGTCCCCTGGGGCATCCACCACCACCACCACCCCCATCAACCCTCAGTGCTGAGGTTTGTTTGTTTGTTTTTTAGATTTATTTATTTGAAAGCTAGAGTTACAGTGAGGGAAAGAGAGAGAGAGAAGAGAGAGAGAGGAGAGAGAGAGAGGTCTTCAATCCGCTGGTTCATTCCCCAAATGGCTGCAATGGCCAGAGCTGGGCTGATCCGAAGCCAGGAGCCAGGAGTTTCTTCCACATGGGCGCAGGGGCCCAAGCACTGGGGCCATCTTCCACTGCTTTTCCCAGGCCGTTAGCAGGGAGCTGCATCAGAAATGGAGCAGCCAGATACAAGACAGCACCCATATGCGATGCTGGCATCACCGGTGATGGCTTAACCTAGTGCACCACAGCTCCGGCCCCCGGGCATCTTCTTAAAGCAATTATCGGCCTGTGATCCTCTTGCTTGCAAAGTCTGTTCGAATGTCTTGGCTGTTTTTGAGTTGAGTCCTTTGTCTTTGTATGCTTTAAGAGTTGTTTATATATTCTGGATAAAAACCCTTACAGGTGTAAGATTTGCCAATGTTTTCTCTGATTCTCTGAGTTCCCTTTGCACTTTTCTCATAGTGTATGCCCTTGGAAGTGCAACAGATTCAGTTTTGGTGGACTGCAATTGTCTTTTTTTTTTCTTTTGTGCCCAAATCTTGGAAACCATTGCCTAACCAAAGGTCTTGGAGATCCATTCCTATGTTTTCTTCTGAGAGTTTTATAGTTTCATCTCTTGTATTTGGGCAATGATAAATTGAGTATTTTTAGTGTGATGGGACATGGGACTTTATCTCTTACATGTGGATATCCAGTTGATATAGCACCATTTATTGAGTCAACTTGTTTTGGGATCTCTGTCAAAAAGTCAAACATCGTGGAAGAAGGGGTTTAAATCTGAACTTGTATCTCTGTCCCATTGGCCTGTGTGTCTGTCCTAATGCCATCCCTACACTGCTGCCGTCACTGTAGCCTTGCAGGATTTTTTTAAAGATTTATTTTATTTATTTGAAAGACAGAGTTACAGAGGAGAGCCATAGAGAGGTCTTCCATCCATTGGTTCACTCCCCAAATGACTGCAATAGCCAGAGCTGTGTTGATCCGAAGCCAGGAGCCAGGAGCTTCCTCCGAGTCTCTCATATGGGTGCAGGGACCCAGGCCACAGCAGCTTTCCCAGGCCACAGCAGAGAGCTGGATCAGAAGTGGAGCAGCTTTCCCAGGCCACAGCAGAGAGCTGGATCAGAAGTGGAGCAGCCGGGACTCGAACCAGCGCCCATATGGGATGCCGGAGCTGCGGGAGGAGGATTAACCTACTGCACCATGGCACTGGCCCCCTGCAGAAAGTTTTAAAAGCAGAAACTGTGAACCCCCAGCTTCGCTTGTTTGCAAGATTGTTTTGACAATTCTGAGTTCATCACACTTCTGTTTGATTTTTACGATCAGCTTGTCAATTTCAGCAAAAAAAAAAAAATCAGAATTTTAATAGAGATCTCCTTGACTCTAGATAAATTTGGGAAGTATCCCATCTTAACAATATGAGTCTTCCAACCCAGGAATGAGGGCTGTCTTTCTGCTTGTTTATATCATCTTTAATTTTTGGTTAAAACATTTACTGTAATGTCTCATAGCTTCCAATGTGCAAGCCTCACACTTTTGGCCAAAATTATTTCTAAGCATTTTATTCTTTTTTCATGTTTTTTTGTAAATTAAATTGTTCTCTGAATTTCATGTCAGATGCTAGCATGCAGAAATACAATTTGGTTTTCTGTATCAGTCTTGTATTTCATAAACTTGCTGAACTAGCTTATTACTTATAACAGGTTTTTTTTTAGATTGATTGATTTATTTGAAAGGCAGAGTTACAGGGAGAGAGAGAGAGAGAGAGAGAGAGATCATCCACCTGCTGGTTCATTCCCCAGATGACTGCAAAGTCCAAGGCTGGAGCCAGGAGCTTCCGCCAGGTCTCCCCACATGGGTACAGGGACCCTGGCACTTGCCACCTTCCTCTGCTTTCCCAGACATATTAGCAGGGTGCTGGATGGAAAGTGGAGCAGCCGGGACTTGAATACAAGATACCAGCATCACAGGTGATGGCTTTACCCACTACACCACAACCCTGGCTGATTACAATAGTTTTTTTTTTTTTTTAATTTTTTTGACAGGCAGAGTGGACAGTGAGAGAGAGAGAGAGACAGAGAGAAAAGTCTTCCTTTGCCGTTTGTTCCCCCCTCCAATGGGCCCCCACGGCTGGTGCGCTGTGGCCAGCGCACCGCGCTGATCTGATGGCAGGAGCCAGATGCTTCTCCTGGTCTCCCATGGGGTGCAGGGCCCAAGCACTCGGGCCATCCTCCACTGCACTCCCGGGCCACAGCAGAGAGCTGGCCTGGAAGAGGGGCAATCGGGACAGAATCCGGTGCCCTGACCGGAACTAGAACCAGGTGTGCCAGCGCCGCAAGGCGGAGGATTAGCCTAGTGAGCCGCGGCGCCGGCCGTTTTTATTTTTTTTTTAAGATTTATTTATTTGAAAGGCAGAGTTGGAGAGACAGAGAAAGAGAGAGTTTCCATCCTCTGGTTCACTCTCCAAATGGCCTCAATAGCCAGGAGTGGGCCAGCCTGAAGCCAGGAGCCAGAAGCTTCTTCCAGGTCTCCCACATGGGTGCAGGGGCCCAAGGACTTGGGCCATCCTCCACTACTTTCCCAGGCCATAGCAGAGAGCTGGATCAGAAGTGGAACAGCCGGGGCTCAAACCAGCGCCCATATGAGATGCCAGTGCTGCAGGCCGGGGCTTTAACCCGCTACGACACAGCTCCAACCCCTGGACCTACTTTGATAACAGACTCTTTCTCCAGGAAGGAACCCGCTGCTGTGACTGTGATGTCAATCCACTGATGAGGCCAAAGCCCTTATGGCCTGGTCACTCCCCGGTACTGCTATGCTGGGGTTTCGTTTCCAGCAGGAGAACTTTGCAGCGGACATGCGCAGCCCAGCTACAGCGAGGAAGGGAAGTGTGCTGATAAGAACTCGGCCGTTCAAGTGCGTGAGCCAGACATGAGCTGGACATCAGGTGCTCGCCAGCCGTGTGACCAGCTCAGCCCGGAGCCTGCACCTTGCTCACGGCACGTTTGTCCAAGAAGCAAGCCTGAGCCTCATTTCCCAGGGCCCCACCCCTTCCTGCTCCTCACTGGTCTCTCAAAAGACACCATATCCAAGCGGGAAGACCCTTGCCCCATCCCCTGTGTCCACAAAAGGGCACTCATCCAGCTGATATCTGTCCTGCCAAGCCCTGGCTCAGCCGTTGGCCCATGGTGTGTTGTCAGCTGTTTGAATGCTTGGAGAAGACAGGGAAAGGGTAGCATTCTTGGGAGACAGGGAGGGATGGCCCGGGTTGGCTGGAATCGGGCTATCCCTGGGGGACCCACCTGGCTGGCTGAATGTCTTGCCATGGTCTAGAGAAGAGGGCTCCCACGTGGGTGCAGGGGCCCAAGGACTTGGGCCATCTTCTACTGCTTTCCCAGGCCATAGCAGAGAGCTGGATCGGAAGTGGAGCAGCTGGGACTCGAACCAGCCTCCATATGGGATTCTGGCACTGCAGGCGGTGGCTTTATCCGCTATGCCTCAGCACCAGCCCTGGCCGTGGGACTTTAAGATGCCCTTTGAGGAGCAGATAACAAGGGCAGGAAGTGGGCCACGCCTCTGATGCCTCATTTGTCCCTGATCAGCTGCTTCTGTCTGAAGCTGCGCATGGCCCCCGAGGCTTGGGGGTGTCACCCACCGTGAGTGTTTCAGTTTCCAGCCGCCAGGAACCTGCATGTGACACTTGCAGGCCCTGAGTCTCGGGTTCCGCTTTCCACAGCACAGAATATTCCTTTCTGTGAAGCCAGGGCCACGGTACAAACTTGGAGACC